GGAATAAAGAGTTCTTCAACGAGTGCAAACAATTCGCACACATTTCTCTATTTCGCATTACCATTTAAGTGGAAAGTAATTTTTCCTCCTGGATATGACAAACACCTGCTAATGTTTTTCAAATATTTACAGTTGCTAATTGTTATTAATTCTGGTTTCCTTGGAATTTCTCCGTTTTCCTTTATTTTTCCTTCAATTAAAATACTTGTCAATAAACTATAGTTTTGAGTTTCTATCTTCAATTAAGTTACTCGAATGAAATTAATTACGCCCCTCTCGCACGACAATCTGTCGCCTATGGCTAAGGCACGGTTGCTCTGCGTTGTGCAGCTTAATCCGCATTTAATTCGTTCATATCAAACGTGGTTGTCATATACCGGCATGTGTGTAATTGCAAATAATGGCTTTCTGAATACCCAGAGGAAAATATGAAAATCTGTAATGTTGGAAGATAACTTAAAGTTTCAGTATTTGAGAAGGGTAGTGACAGAAAATACTTCACACCAATTATTTATGATAGGGTAATGTTTTTGTTTTTAATTTTTTTTTACTGTTGGTGCTACTGGTTTTGGAAAACTTAGTCATGGGGCTATACTCAGTTGAACAATAGCGTAATAGTGATCCAAATATTTTGTGCATTCGCGCATTAGGTGATTCTTTCGATGAACATAACCGGCCATCTGGGGCAACGATCAGCCGTTTGGTGCAGAAATTCGAAGAGGCTGGATCGGTGTAAAACGTGACAACACCCGCGCATATTCGTTTTTGTTTTTTTTTTTGCTGGTGAAGTCGTTGGACCTCACTTCTTCGAAAATGCTACCGATAACAAACTTTTTATGGCCTGACTTGCCACATAGGGCATGAAATAATGGCCCAATTGCGAACGAAGGTCTCAGAGCGTATTATGTCATGAAAAAACGAGTTCAAATTTCCGCCGAGGTCTTGCAATTTGACACCATTGGACTTTTTTCCCTCGGGGCTACGTAAAAAGTATGGACCATGCCAATAAACCCGTGAGGATTTCCGAAAAGTAGAACGAAATCATAAACAGCCCGAACTATCCCAAAAGTAATGGAACATTTTGATATGCGCGTCTTGTGTGGTGGACATTTAACGGATGTTGTGGTTCTAAGACTAAAAAACCTTCCAAAATAAAAAAATGTCAACCCATTTTATTGGGTTTTGTGTATTTTAACTCCTACCATTAGCGGGTTTTTTGAATTTTATTTTTAATAAGTTACATGCGAGTTAATCAAATAGAATATTTTTATGGGGTTAAACTGTTCTTGTATCAAATTTTTTGTCGATTACACTGTCGTACAAAAATTTTATAACATCAAAAATTCTACGGAAATCATATACCACAAGTTCATAACCAAATAATTGTATAATAAATAGTGTATAAGTTTAGGTAATAGCAGTTATTTTATTAACCGCTCGGTATCGACTAAATAGCCGTTCACTTTCGACTAATCACTTACCACCGAGTATTCGGAAAATCGAATAGGGGCTGTGGCTCATAATAAGGTTATTTTTATTCGCGCGATTGGATTTTCTCAATAAGCATATGTGAGTAATTGAAAAATATAAAAACAACCAAAGTACTTAGATTGAAGAAAAACAACTAGTCGAAAAATTTAAAATTAACGGTTAGTCTACAAGTTGTTTGCGGTTAGCGGTTAGACGAAAAAATTGAAAGTAGAAAGAATGATTCAGTGAAGTCGACCAATTTTCAAACTACTTTTGCTAATCTATCAACCGATTAGTTGACTATTCGATTAAGAAGAGTTCTATTTCGGACGTGCCTGCTTCCTAGATAGCAGTGAAAGTAGTATTCCTTTCATGAAAATATATGGGAAATCCTCCTGAATTGTGAAGGATTTCACGAAATCTCAGATTTCAATGCAGAGTAGTTGGTTTTATTTAAAAATCAATAAAATTTCAGTCAATACCATAATGGAAGGTACAGAACTATGGGTTGGCATAGCCATAATGGTCTGGAAACGGAAGGTGCTAGGTTTTCACAGGGTTTACGCCGAATGGGAAGCCGCATCCTCATGTGGGAACTCCGCAAGGGCTGTCCTATCTCCCATACTTTGGTTTTTAGCAGTTAACAGGGCTCTCAAAGCGTTCGTAGACACAGCTTCTGGTTCATTAGCACTCCATACTTTTCACAAATGGTTAAAGAATGTAGCGCTCAGTATAAATGCGACCTAATGCGGTTTACTTAAAATTACAAAGTAATACCGAATGAAAACTTTCATGTCAAGGAGAGTGGGGAAAAAGGCTTGATTGGCGCCTTACGTATGATAGAAGATGCTAAGCAACATATATATTGATTACGTTTTCGGTTTTTATTCGATATACTTTTTGGAAACAGATGTCACGCTATCCAAAGTTATTTGAGATTGCCACACTATTAAAAGTTCGCATCAGTTCATACTAGCTAAATAACTAGTCAGCCTTTAGCTTTAGTTATGATAGACAGAAATACTGTAATATTTTGCGCCGGACACTCAAAGAAGACGTTTCGATACCAATTTTGAATTTATTAAAGTGTTTTTAAGTTTTATGTAAGTTTGTTTCCGAAATCAACTCTCACTGGGTAATAAACTTAGCTACATACCATGTGGCTAAAATATTTGATATAGCCATTTCGGCTGATGTGTATTCTAAATATATCGCACACGTTTAAATGTATATAAATTAATACATATGTACGTATATAAATACTTGTCCACTGATAACTGTATGTGTCATATTACTTATTGTTGACTCAGATTTATATCACTGCTGAGATTGAAGAAAGGTGAATACGAAAAGGGTCAAATTACTAGAAAACCTGTTCATTCATTTCCTTAATTACAGTCATAAGTCGAGTGATGGTAATGGTAGAAAATTTGCACTAAGCACCTATTTAGCTAATTAATGCGAAATATTCTTCTTATATATGCATTACTTATGTATTAGTATACTATGTCTGTTTAAAAATAAATTTGATGTAAGTGGCACGCACAGTACGCCTCTGATTTTTGGCGTAAATTCCAAAGCAAGCGAATGCGAACCGCGTTCCATTACTAAACCTTTTCTTAACGGACTTTAGACCTTAACTTTGCTTTTTTGAAAATGGGTATACATGCGTGCTCAGAATTTATGAGTCGAAACTGAGTTATTATTTTGACTCATTTTGTTGAAAGTTTATTTATAATCAGAATTATAGTCCATTTCCACCAAGCCTTAACTGGAGTGTATGCCACTCGAAGGGAGTAATTGCTCATATTAAGTAAAATCAAACGAAAGTAAAAACGCAAAAAGTAAGAAATAAACCTTGCACATAAAAAACCCAAGCTAAAATTCTTGTAAATTATCTGCGCTCTTAACTGCAGTTAAGCTTTTTGGTGGAAATGTGCTATTATAAACAATATTTGTTTTTAAGACTAAGAAAAGAGGCATACTAAAGACCCTAATATGACACTTAACTTGAACTCGTATTGGCGTGTCCTGCTAAAAACGGGAAATATACTCTTTTCTGACTCTTTATTAAGCTAAGAATTAAGGTTACAACCAGTGATGCCACAAAGATTTTTAATTTTTTACCAAACCTCTAAAAAAAAAATTACCAAACTCAGAAAAAAATTACCAAATTTTTATGAGCATAATATTCTAAACAAATTGGAAATTATTTTTCGACGTATGTAGATAATACACCACGTCTGGGATTGTGGCCAGCTTAGATCTATTTATATTTTTCGACCGAAAAATGAGTTCTTCCCATTCTTTTATGACAAACTCATAAAAAGGCATGATGTCGCTGCCGCGTTCAAAAAATTCATAGCACCATCGACTGAGCGTTTAGATAACGGAGATGAACAATTTACAGCTGTGGTTGTCCTTTTCAATGTGTTCCGACTATAACAATTCACAAATATTTTTAATGGCCGGTTGTTCAATGTATTTAACCGGAGCTTCTACCTCCGATTTGTACTAATCAGACATTGAACAATCGGCCCTAAAACATAAAACAAAAAAATCGCTCAGAGATTTACATACAAACATTTAAAAGGTTTTTAATAGTTCATTTCTACTGCAGTTTATGCCTATTGGAAAAAAAAACAGATTACAACTCGAAGGAGGTAGTTGCTCATATTAGGTACAAGCAAATGAAAGGAAAATAACAAAAACGAATAAATAAACATTGCAGATCACCTCTTGTTAAAAATATCTAAACTCTTAACTGTAGTTAAGCGTTTGGTGGAAATGGGCTGTAACATACAGTCTTTTACATAATTTATTTTACATACCTTAAAACCAAAACATGAAACCAGCAAATGTATCGTTAAACGGTAGATAAAATTTACTTTTACTATTTTATAAGTGGGTCACATTCGTATTTAATCGCAAACTTTTAATTAGTCCCTTGAAATTATTTTCTTTCACCATTGGTTCCGGCAGGTAAAAATGATCCAAAATCCAGATTTGTGGGACTGTAGGGGCTGTGATCGAGCCGCCATATTGGGAAAATGGGTGGTTTCCTGCTATATTGCAAACTCATACTAAAAGTTCTGAGTTGTCAAGGCAAATTGTTACATTAAAGAGCCCTTTCAATTTTTGGCTCTCTTAAGGTGTAGATACATACATATGTAAGTACATAAGCAAACTTTTTTGTTTTGTGCAATCGTCAGAAGGTTCAAAGTTATAAATTTTTATAAGTAATAAGTTACTATTAAAAACTTAAAAGAAAATACTTACGTTAAAAAATACCAAATTGAGAAAAAAATTAGCAAATTACCAAACTCCTTCTAAAAAGAAAAAAATTACTAGTTTTGGTAAAAAATTACCAAAGCGGCAACGCTGGTTACAACTCAAAATTCTGAGACTTTTCTGACTCTGAGTCCGAATTCAAAAATTTGTATTTCTCTTACCAACAACTATGTTATCAATATAAACAAATTCAATGAAAAACTATTTTTTTAACAAATTATTTTTCTCTTACTTTTCAGTCGCCAGCACACCTGAGAGTATACCAAAACGTGAACGTGACGATCCACCCACCGGCGGCAGTAGTGGTACAGTTGGTGGTGGTGGCGCAACACCGATTGGCTCAACAAGTGGCAGCCTAACAAGCGATAGACGCTCAAAATCAGATAGTCCTACTGGCAGTAGTAGTGCGGCATTAATAGGCAGTGGTTTAGGTACATTCACGAGTGAGGAAATAAGCAACACAACAACAACTACAACAGCGCATACAACAAATAGCGGCACAGTTGAGAGCGTGACGATCAATGGTCAAATTGGAAGTAAGTTTAGATAACCCTAAAACAAGAAAGTTATACAATGAGAGATGAGCACACATCAATACTTTTTCCGAGTTTATGTATAGTACACAAAAAAATCTATATATAGCGTTTCACTAATCTTATATATAAAAATAAGTGCACGTTTTTGGTGTGACCTCATAATTTGAGAACGGCTTCACCGAATTCAACCAAATTTATGTGGCATATTCGATCTATCATGCAGATGGTTTATGTGGAGTTTGCACAAATTTGGAAAAGGGGGCGTGGCACCACCCATACTAATAAAATATAAAAATAAGTGAACGTTTTTGGTGTGACCATATAACTTGCGAACGGCTTCACCGAATTCAATCAAATTTATGTGGCTTATTCGATCTATCATGCAGATGGTTTATGCGAAGTTTGCCCGAATTCTGTGGTACCACTCACACTAACTAAAATATTAAAATAAGTGAACGTTTTTGGTGTGACCTTTGAGAACGGCTTCACCAAATTCAACCAAATTTGTGCGGCATACTCGGGCTATCATGCAGATGGTTTATGTGGCGTTTGCTTGAATTCGGAAAAGGGGGCGTGGCGCCTCTATTTTATATATAAAAATTAGTGAGTTAGCTTATAACTTGAGAACGGCTTCACCGAACTCAACCAAATTTATACAGCATATTCAAGCTATCATGCAGGTGGTTTTTATGAAGTTTGCCCAAATTCGTAAAAGGGGGTGTGGCACCTCCCATACTAACTAAAATTTTTATATTGTATATCTCTTGAAATATTTGTGGTAGAGTATTGGAAATTGGTATAGAGGTATACCAAATAATTTCATATTCATGGAGAAAAATGGGCGGTATTGGAAAAGAGGGCGTGGCACCTCCTATCTTACATATAAAAAATGAGTGCAAGATTTCAACCAAATTTATACGGCGTAGTCGGGTTATTATGAACTTAGGTTTGTCTTATGTTTCCCCGAATTCGGAAAAGGGGGTGGCACCACTCATACTAACAAAAATTTTCTTCTGGTATATTTGAAATATTTGTGGTAGATTACTGGAAATTGGTATAGAGACATATGAAATAATTCCATACTCATGGAGAAAAATGAGCGGTATTGGAAAAGGGGGCGTGGCACCTCCCATCTTAAATAAAAAAAAAATAAGTGCACGAATTCTACCAAATTTAAACGGTATATGCAGATGGGTTATGTGAAGTGTGCCCGAATTCGGTCCAGCGGTTCATGATCTATAACAGTTTATGTCTGTTACATGAACCACGTATATGGTACAACAGCAGATACATGAAAAATCGAAAACATAGTGAAAAATTGTTGCTATGATGTGCTGTGTTTATTTTTTCTTCGGATAAATATCAAGTATAAACATGGCTGCAATATAGTAAAAAAAAAATTCAAATAGAAAAATTCCAGGATTTTTCATTCATTTTTCAATATTTGGTGTAGAGAAGCACACCGGGGTACCGCTAGTAGAGTATAAAAAGCAATCGTTTAGGTATAAAAATTTCGTTTTAAACTTTAGAATGCAAAATGCAATGAATTTTAATTATTTTATATAATAAATTTTGGGCCTTTGCCGTTCCAGCATTAGCCTTTAGTCATTAGCTATTTCATTACTCATTCAGTTCATCAGCCGTTCACCATTCTGCTGCTAAGCACTGAAACGCCGTTATTTCACACTAACACCCCAAAAATGTATGCAAATTTTTATTTTCCCCTCCTTATTTGTTTTTTTTTTTTCTGCATTCTGATTTAATTGGCTTGGCTGGCTTTTGTGTAATAATAAAAAGCAACTGAGCGCTTCTGTAAATCCCAAAAAGAACATCTAGTTAACAGTGTTCCACACTTTATGCTCCAACAGTAATTGTGCGTAGGGGCGTATACGCGACGTTGTTGGCTATTAAATGAATACAAATACATATTCCCAATTTATTACCGACCACCATAGAAAAGCATAACAATAAATTTCATTTTCTTCATAGACGAAGAAAAAGCATAAATAGGCAAGAAAAAGAATAAACAAAAACCAAGGCTCGCACCGCCCACAGTGGGCGTTGTTGTAATTTTAGCTTCCTACAACTGATTGTGTGCCTTGGTGTATGCATGCACGCACGCCTGCACATGCAAACAAACAAGCACTTACAATTATTCAGATTTGAAGAAGCTGTTAATAAAATGTAACCTGAAAATATAAGCGTTGGGGTTGACTCAAAGGCAGTGGGTTGCTCATAAAATCGTTTTATATTGCATGCCTTCAGGCAAAACCGAACCGATTGTATTGATTGCATTGAGTTCTCCATACAATGAATGCTTGGCAAAGTGAAAAAGCCACAATTCAAAGATTAGATGCTGTGCTTCAATGGACAAGGGGCATTCGAAGAATTTTCTTTATCCTCTTATACTGCACTCATTTTTCCTAACAAGGCAGCCTACGCGGCGATTTGTGGGCATAAATATAAATTTTTGGAAACTCATTTATCAGCATTCCTTTCGTCGCAGCAAATTTTTAACGGTCTCAATAAAACAAATATTCGAGCCCTTATGAGTGCTCGTTTGTAGCGCTTACAACCAAAGAAAAAGTTAAAAATAATACGCACACATATGTAAATATTGATGGCTGATTGGAAGATCGACCTATGTATCTCGACAACCAGTTCGAAAACGCCGTATCTCAGAGAACTTTTCAAGAACGCCCTATTTCAGAATTTTACTGAAAAACACCCTATCTCAGAATTCGGTTCAAAAATGAAAATACATTGAAAATGTGCTGAGATAGGGCGTTTTTGAACCGAGTTCTGAGATAAGGCGTTTTTCAAAAAAGTTCTAAAATATTACTGGGCATTTGAAATGAAACTTTGTAATAAAGATAAAAGAGAAGATGAAGAAAGAAAGATATAATAAGTTAATTGTAAAAACAAATATTTTTAAAGCAGGTCATCGGGAAGTTGGTCAAAAATTGATTGCAAGATTTGCCCCTAATAAACATACATACATACAGAGCAAGTTAAATAAAAGCTTCTTAAAAAGATGAAGATAAGAAGTGAAAGGAAAACTAAAGATAAAAAAGCAAATGAAAGCAATAACAAATACATATACATAATAATTAGAGTAATTGAAGGGTTAAGAAAATATATATTAAAATTGTTCGATTAAAAGAGAACCATCAACCATTTTGTTATCAAAAGTTATTAAGTCATCGAAATTTATTGAGTGATCAAAGTTAATAGTTATCGAAATATATCGGATTATCAATGTTTATTGAGTTATCGAAATGTAGCGATTTATTCAAGTTGATCAATATTCATAGAGTTATCGAAATCAAGAGAGACACAGAAACTCATTTGTCGAAATTTGGCGATAGTTGTCGAGTTATAAAAATTTCTCTGATTTTTTAAATTCGTCGATTTCATAAAACTTTTCAAGTTATCGATATTTATTGAATTCTCAATACATAACGGGTCATCAGAATTTATAGAGTTAGCGTAATGTATCGAGTTCTTTCAACTTATCTAGTTATCGAAATTTATTGGTTTATCGCAATTTGTTGGTAGCTATCGAAATTTTTCGGCTTATCGAATCGAAGTTTTCGCAATTTCCGAAATAGGTCGAGTTATCCAAATTTCTGGGGTAATATAAGTTTATCGAGTTATCACGTTTTGCCGATTTATTTATCGTCGGTGACACTGCAAAACGTTCTATGTCACTTATTACCTTTGGTGCTTAATTGATGTCTTATCTGTATCTGATCGCTTCTAGCAATCGTTCATCTTCATTAGGCAAAGGAAGACAGTTTTGTCATTCGTGTATTAGGGTGTAACGATTTGCAGATGCATCCGGTGCAAATAAAAGGCCATATAAGTGTCAACGGTTCTAATAGACATAGACCATTTTGCAGTATCACCGACGATATTTTCATAGAGTTACCAGAGCGTATCAAGTTATCGAAATTTTCCCATCTCTATCGAAATTTATGGAGCTATATATTGAGTTGTCCAAGCTTATCAAATTATCAATATATATATCGAGATTTGTAAACTTTGGAGTTATCTAAATTTATGGACACTTATCGAAATTTTTCGAGTTACAGAATTTTATCGAGTTAGTAAAATTTAGTGTTTTTGAAATCCATCAAGTTATAGATAAATATGTATAGAAGTGTCGAAATTTATCGACTAACTGGAATGTATCGAGTTATCAATATTCATAAAGTTTTTGAAATTTGTTTGGTTAAAGATATTTATAGAGGTATTGAAATTTATCGAAATATATCGATTTAATGAAGTTTGTTGATATCTAGCAAGGTTTATCGAAATACATATGTCGAAATTCGTTGATAGGCATCGTTAGGAAATATTTAGATTGTGTATATTCTTTAATTTGAGTCGTACTTGATTTGACAACAAGTTACAACAACAAAATGGACTAGAGAACAACAATTTTTAACCAGATAACCTGATAATCAGGCAGGTGTGAATACCCCAAGTACACATTTTTTAGAGTTCAAAATTTAAATCTCTTCATAAGCATTCATAATTCCTTACAACACACGACATGCAACACTTAAACAATTCAATGTTTAGACATTTTAATTCCGTGCTTTGGTATTTGTTTTCGAATAATTATTTTAAAAATACATAGAATTTTAAATATCCATTTTGCTTTATACTCTTACAGGGCACGGCTCACTCACCATTGTACGACGTTCAAATAGCCGCAAAAGCTTTATACAACTGGACGCACAACAACAAAATATTCTCACATCGCCATCAACAGCCGCAACAACTCCTGTAGGTGGCCCTCCACATCCCCAGCAACAAACACAACAACCATTTACCGGCATAACCGCCGATTTAGCTGCCCAATTACTTTGCAGCAGCGACAAAAGGGGTCAACAGGGAACAGCATCAAGCAGTGACAATCGCTCCAAAGATAACAGCAAAAATAGCAATACTTGCGATAGCCGTTTTGAAGTTGAATCGAACGTTTCGGTTTCACCGAACGTAACAACCACCGGCATCGCAAGCCAACAACAATTAAGGCACAATTTAGCAGCTGTTCGAGGAGTAGGTACACCTAGCACCGCTACTGTTGGCTTCAGTAGTAATAATAACGCCACCGCCGCCATCAACAACAACAATTCCGACAACAACGCCAGCAATAAGTACAGTAGTATCGCCGCCAATACCGCCAATAGCTGTATAACCACCAGCATCGTCACCAACAAAATGCAATCATCACCACCGAGTTCACCAAATACGGGCGATATTCGTGCGGCCATGCGCGACAATGGAGAAGATGAACGCGCGTTGGAGGTGACAGCAGCAACGGTCGTTGCGGATACGTCAGCAGCGAGCCTGGATTTGGCAACTGAAAATTTACCAGCTGTCGATACACCGGACGCTTGCGATAAGGCAGCCGTAAGGTGCGTATAGGAAATAATATGTATGTACATATGTACATATGTAAGTTGTCGACCACGACACGGTTAGCTGTGTGCGCTACCATTCCGCGTGGCCGGGGTTCGAGCCCAGGTTTCGACTTACATTAAAAACAATAGAAAAAGAAAAAAATTCTAATAACGGTCGCTACTCGGCAGGCAATGGGAAACCTACGAATGTATTTCTCAGATTCTCATAAAAATACATTCGCCGTTCGGAGTCGGCGTAAAGCTGTAGGTCCCTCCTTTTTGTATGACAACATCAAGGCCCACGCCACTAATCGGAGGAGAAGCTCGGCCAAACACTTACCAAAACAATACCTTCTGAACTGTATAGAATCTCGCTTCTGCAGGGTCACCGTCTCAGTAAATGAATAGATGTTAATGTCGTATCCTTACCAAAGGCGGCAAAGCTTGAAACATTTACCTAAGCTCATATCCCCTTAAATCCATTTAGACAATTTTGCATCAGCACAATATCAATCTAATGGAACGGCCTCTGAACAAGAACCAATTGGGCTATGAGCCCGGCAAATATGCCGAAACGGTCATTCATAGAATCACAGTAAAAAATGTACAGTGCTCTGGAGTCTAAAAATATAAACCTCCATGTCCTTGTTTCTGTGGCTTTCCACAATTCATCTTATAGGGCTAAAGAAGATGGCACTTTAAACAATGGCAGAGGGACCACTATCAATCAGTTGAAACTTGGGATGGAAAAGGCGCCCGCAGGCGCCGGCTTTCAGGTTTTGGATTCTTAAAGTCGATTAATCCCTTGTGGTAGTCGACTTTATGATTTAAATTGACTTTTTGAAAATAAATTAATACCTGCCTTTATTAAAAAGTTAATGAACATAAAATTATAATTTTTAATAATTCAAAAAATTATATTTTATCAATTTATTGCACCTGCTTCGGCACTGAAATTTAAAACTAAATACTAAAATTAATTAATTCTGAAAATCACATACATTCATCGACTTAATTATCAATGTTTGAGCACTGAACCCATTATAAAATGGGATTCGTTATAAAATTGTGTGTAGTCTTGAGCGCATGTTGCTGAACTCCGTTTATTTAAATACAGTAATGCTACATTTTGAATATTTCATTACTGAAGTGGGTTTACACTACTGCAATACGACGTTTTAACTTTAATATTAGGTAATTATATTACCATCATTTACTTAAGTAGTAGACAAAAGTCGAAAAGTTATCGAGTGAGAGTCGATTCGATTCGACTTCAAGCGAGAGAACTCGATTCCAAAAAGTCGATATTTTTCAATAAAAAGTCGATTTTTGACTAAAATCAGAGTCGACCTTTCCATCCCTAGTCGAATTCTATACAGGCGAATTGGTTATCTGCTATCAGGGCTGCCTGTGGAAACCATTTCGATCGTTATACAAAAAGCTCGGTGTACCGCACAAAGCAGGTCCTAAACCAGGGGATAATCCATAAATCATACCAACAATTATTCTGGTAGGTACCTCATCAGATGATAGCACAGTTCACGCTTCCACCCCAGACATCAGGATGCGCATCATGACAGACTTAAAGCTCAGTTAGTCTAGACTTAACTTAATTTAACATACCATAAGCAATCATCAATGAGCAATATTCTTTTTTTCATAGAGATGTATGTACATTGGATCCTTGGCTACAAACTTCGTCCCCATTCTTCTGCTAGAATTACGTAATGGTTGAATTTTATTTTCAAAGAACTATTTTGTCTATTTTTTCTAAGATAAGTGTAACCAACCTTTTTTCTAATAAAATGTCTAATTATGACTAAGCTCTTCTATTACTTAGCAGAGAAACACACCTATTAATTAAAATTATATGAAAATTGGTATTAAGGGCTCTTATTTTCATATAGTCGAAAAACTGAGCGACGTCGGGTACTCTGCTAGTATTTATGTATAAAACAAATCGAAACTAATTTTTTTCAATCGAGTTATTGAGCATTGTACCACGATTTGTTTGTAAGGAAAAATGAAAACAAATTTTTTATCAAATCAATATGTATGCCAAAAGTTAAAAGGCGACAAAGTAATGAACCTTATTTGCATAGTCCCTCTGGATGATCGACAGCACAATATTTGAAGAGTTTTAATTTCAATTTAGTCGAAATGTAGAAACTGTACTCATAATTTCTAATTTTTGCTTTATTAAATTAATCTACTGTCATTCTATTACAGATTGCGCTGCTTATTGCATTTAATAAATACCGGCGAAATTTCAAATGACATTTTGCAACGCAACCTTCATTATGCGGCACGCGTGCTCGAAGCTGTCTTTCTCGACGAGTCCAAGTAAGTATTTTTGTTTCCGAACTAGAATTGTTAATCAGCTAAATCGTAAACTAAAGTCGTCTTAGAAAGAAAATAGTTTCTTTCTTAAATGATGAAAATGTTTTTAAAATTACATGAATCAATCAAGAAACAGGCGAAAGCATTTATATTAGGAATCATTCGAAAACTACGGAAGTGCAGAAATGATCCAATGATGAACAAAATTTCTAAAGAAACTATGCAAACATATCGCTTGCTTCGAGTGAAAAGGATAAAGTTATTTTTTTATTTCTTTCCGTTTCAATTCAACGAAAAGCAAATTTGCTAAGTCCAAAAGCGACAGAGGAAATTCGATAATGCCAAAATAGTACGAAATATTTTAATTAACATCGAATTCTTCTGATTCGTACGGAGTTTTGCTTTGCTTTAAACGCGTAAGAAGGTTTATTCAAAGTCTTGCAAAATACCTGAAAAAAATAACTGTAAGAAGTGTTTTCCTCTCCTATAAAATTTGTAAAAGATGGGCCTAGCAACTTTTCACTCTAAGCTGGCGATATCTGAAATACTTATGCAAATGTAATTTAATAAAAATCGATTTTCGCTAAGCTTAGGCTTATAGCCCAATTCAGTATCGGTGACAAAATTTTTTTTACTGACAAATTTAAACTTTTTCGTATATTTTTCCGTTTAAAGAACTGTGACAAGAATTTTTCACTGACACAGAATAGGACCGTTAAAACAGATCATTTTTGTTACTTTTAAAATCGAAAAACTTAAAGCAGAATTCACTAATCAGTGCATTCGTAGTAATAAAGTTTTTTCCATATCTCCTGATTTTCAAAATGATCATTAATTTGCGCCATATGTTGGAAAAAAGATTTCACCAAATTTTCAAACCGAAATTACACATCATAGTTTAACAAACCAAAGCTTCTTTGAAATCAGGCCAATTGAAATAAGAAATTCCGCACTCACCTCGACGCCATACTCATTGGCTGCAAGATGGCATAGTCAAAACCAATAAAAAAAACTTATAAAGTTATTTTACTACAAAAATTACACAAGTTGAACGTTCAGCTGGCTTGCGTAGCTTTTTGTAGAAAACTAAGCGCTTAAAGTCTTGCAACAAATGAGCTTTTGTTAGGTGCTTCATAGGCGATTACAATATAATTTTTAAGTAGGTACTTTTGAATGGTTCTAAAGCGCATTAGGTAAACCTGAAAATATGTTCAACTATTTTAGCATTTCAATTGAGTAAATATACATACATAAATATAAATTTATTCGCATCACTGTGTGTTTCACTTACATACCAAAAGGATTCATAAATTACTTCACTACTGTTTCATCCACCACTCGTCTCATCTTCTCGTCTCATTTTAATTTTATAAGTGTTATTTATTATGTAATAAATGTAAGGTGTTCTAAAATCATAATTAGTAAACTGAAAAGCTTCAACAACTTCGTATGTATTTGATGTTGTATGTACGAAGAAGATTCAACAGGAGCTTTCACTAAATTTGTTTCGAACTTTCATCCAAAGTAAATGTGAAAGCTTTATCATATGATGTTTTTCTTGTTATATGTACTTATGTGTATCAGAAAAATGTATTTAGTTTTTATTACTAAAATGAATGTTCAAACAAAATTTGTAATATCAAAATTTTCCTGGACTTTTTCTCCATTTTCTATTCATTTGTGTGTATATTTACGTATACATACATATGTATGTATGTATATCCTGTTTCCTAACTAAAACGAGAAGAAGATCATCTGCTCTTAATGAATGTTCCAAACGGGGATCTTCTTCTAAAATTACCGCTCAAACTTCTAATGCAGAGTAAGTCTTAGTCTGACTGACATACAAATCTACACAAGTATGTAGCTTCCCAGTTACACAAAAAATTTTATGTATCAACATTTTATACTAAATGTGTATAATTTGATATTAAATCATTTTATTTTCTACTCTGTATTAATAAATATAGGAATATCTATAGCTAAGTATGTTGTATATATGAAATATGTCCTCTTTCTTTACTTATGTGGCTTGGAATTACATTTTTCATATATCGTACTGCACCCTCATTCTTTCGTTCATTCATACATCGCAGCACTTTCATTTTCCTGCGCTTATAAGGTGCGTATCACAATTATAACATTTTTCTTTCTTGCCTCGCCAGTGCTTTGTAATTGTGATATACACTATACATAAATACTAAGGGTGGTACATATACAAACAATAAAAAATTATATATACTTAAATGATAAAAATATATTTAAGAAATCAAGAATATTAACATCTTTTTGAATGGGTTTTCAAAGAATTGTTTGATAGCGTATTGGACTTAGTATTCCAAAAGCGGCAATAAATAGCAAACCTTTCTCTACTTAGTCCTAGTTAAAACCAGCCAAAAATTTAAGCTTTCCTGGTATTGGTGGGAGTAAATATTTTGTTGCACAATTTTCTATATGCATCTCTGCACCGAAAATAAAGTTTTTAAAACATTTCGCTGACGCCTTTTTGCCAGTTCGAGCTCGTTATGAGTATATTGGCTGCAATGATATTGTGATCTGAGTCGATGTTTGGTCTTCGGATCGTACGCACACGATCGACTTGGTTCCTCGTCTTTCGATCTAAAAGCAGCCATGTAGCTTGATCAAACATTTTATACTGAAATCCAGAGCTGCAATAATATGAAAAGGATCAGCCTCAGTCTATTATCGAACGATGAAACAAAAGACCTTGACCACCCTGGCATTGAAAGTACACAGCACGATTTTTTTCCCTGTTTTTTCCCTACCCTTCCCGGTCCATTCCATTCCTTGGACGGCGGTAACATCTGCCTTGGTCTTCCCGAGGACGTAAAGCAGTCAGGTAGAGACATCTTACCCATTAAGGGTACTGATATTTCGCTACAGGCTTATTATGCGTGGCGGGTTCCAAACCCAGCGCGCACCTATAATTGTTTTGTTGGATACTTGTTTACACAACCAGCCGCTTGCACAGGGCAGACACCCACTTTCTACAGCTACTAATTGTGAACAGGCGCTGCCGATTTCAGTGGGCCCTCAAACTGAATAAATCAGAGTAGTCCAACTAAGACTTATTATTTGTTTTTTTTTTTTTTTTTTGCAGTGGCCCAAGCCTCTACACATGCTGATTACCGCATCTTGTGCATGGGTTACTCGCTTTTTTTTAAGAGTATTGTATTTGTACCACACCTTGTTATTTACTCATCAAACATCAAAAATGATTTTAAGTGAGTTTTGTAGGAAAGAAAGCAATAAGCACTAAGTTTCACATGACTTTGACGTTTATTACTTTTATAAATTTCAATACAAAAAAATTAATTATTTAAGCTGCAATAATTTCTGAATTATCTTTAATGAGCGCAACACAAAAACTATATAAGGATATTACAAAAACATATGCCAAAAAGCAGCATTTCCTTTTGAATAACCTACTTACAGACTTTTACACTACTACTTGAGTTCGAATCGTTGCTTTAAACAATTTGTTTCTCTTGCCTAAAACTCACTTAAAATTTCTTGCATTTAAATAGCAATTTTAATTTTATGTAATTTCCACTTAGAATACTGAAAGATGAATGGTCCTAAAAATGATTAGATTTTTGTGCAACAAGAATACGATATATACCTAAATATGTATGTAATTGTATGTAGCGCTTTAGGCTCTTAGCATTTAACTAATTAAATGATTTCAATTTATTTGCTCTCTGCTCGTGAAAGGCCTTGAAATGCCACTGAAATTTATCGCCCTACCCCTTCTAACTACTTTGTGATTTCTTTATGTATACACTCGTATGTATGTAGATGTTTAAATGCAAAAGTGAAACTTTTTGCCGAGTTCTGTCAAAACTGCACGAAATTCAATTAAATCCCATTTCAGTTAAACTGTAGTTAGCCGCCCAATCAACCAAGAAAATGCGCAATTTAATTCAAAGTGTGACACAAAAGCAATCCATAAATTGGCAATGACCCGCAGGCAGTTTTGACAAAGTTCTAAAAGTCCAAAAAAGTTTAAGTTAAAAAAAAAATATTGTACAATGAATTTTCAACCACTTATCCACTTAGGAGGCACTCAACTTTATTAAATGTGATTTCCGTATTCGAATTTTGTACATATTTCTGGCGCTGTCATTCTACGAAAAAAAAAACTTTTGCGTGTTGTATAAAATAATATTTTTACATACATACATAAGTGACAGACGTTCATAGATAAATGGTTATTTTAGTTGTACTGATCCACAATGCCAAAGTTCCTGCTAGTCTAACAAAACAAAAACTTTAACAATAGAAAAAGTATGACTATATTTTCAACTCGATTTAAGTATTAGAATGTTTGAAAAATTCTATAAAATAAATTATCAATGGAAGTTTATGTGTATGCACTTATGCGCTCAACTCTACGAAATTTCCCTCCACAAACTCGTATCTACCCACCTTTGTACTTTCATACATTCTGTACTAAGTGCAATTTGAAGCATGTCCCTGTTTTCACTTCGGACATCCCTTTTACATATATCTTGAAAATGCATTGTCTACTTTTCAGTACTTACTTCGTTTGCAGAGGACAAGCTCTTGTTGCACTGCCCTTACTTCTACTACTCGCTCTTTTTCTGTCCCTCTATGTATCTCTCTCTCTTACTATGTTTCTTAGTTTTCTAAAACTATAAACTATTTTGGTGAAAATAGTCAATATTATTCCAAACAAATCTGCATAAAGTTTAGTGAACGCCATACATTCTGTGCTTAGACTTTTCATGGTTTGTTCACTTCAGAATCAACTTCAGCATTCGCATTAACTTACATACATAACTATGTATAGTGCATTGTCTCTTCATACTACATTACCATACATTACAATAATACATACATACTCGTAAATACATTTTTCATGGCACATCTGTAAATACAACGTTTTGATGTCAAAGTTCAACATCTTTTTTATTATTACTTGTAAAATAAGCAATGGTGCCTTTCAGCAGAAGCTATTG